TCAACAGCGTTTCTCAGAAATCACTCACTGCACCTTTAATATCTTATGCCATTTATGTCATTCTCAAGTAAGGAATGTTTAAATATTTGTATTAGAAAACAAGAAAAAATACTGAATAAGAAAATCATTAACCATCACTGATTACTCATGAACCTCCAGAAACGGTCTTGTGGACTTTAGGATCAGGGTGTGAGTCTCGTTTGGGGTATCAGCACTCGGACCTTCATCCCACGTTAACGATTGTTGTAGAACTAGCACTTGGTCCAAGTTTAGAGATTGACTTCTAATGAGGTGTTTGTAAATCCTCCACGGTCCTTTCATATTGTGTGAAGGTTCTGACGGGTCAGCCTTTCCATGCTGTCGGCCTCATATGCAGCTCAGATGTTTGCAGTGAGCCATCGAAAGGAAATTCCACAGAGCACATAATTCTGTCAAATCTGGCGGACCGCAAATGTGGCATCCCGTAGTTGGGAATCAGATGTAAATCTTTAAAACGCAGGGTGGAGCTTCAAATGATTCGGAGAACCTTCCTTTGGGGAGGATGTACCTCAACAGACACGAACCAAACCTCATGCACATGCTGCTTTGTCCAGAACATTCTGTTTGTTTCACAATTCAAACATTTCTAGAACAAGCTAATTGTTGTTTATTGGTTTTTTTTTTTTTTTACTTGTTTTCGAAGTAAAAGCTTGATACCAGCCCTGAACAGTGGGTTTCTTCATCAGGATGTACTATGAACCGAGCTACTGCTGTGCAGAACAATGACTATGTTTACATGGACATCAGTAATCTAATTATTTACCTTATTCTAAATAAGCCAATATTATGATTATGGTGTTTACATGAGTTGCTTTTAGAATATTCCTAGTACATAGTTCGATTAATGGCACACGTCATTACGTCCCCACGTGACGCCATCCGACGTCCCCTCCGGAATTTCACGTATAAACATTTAAAATCGGAGTAATGTTGTCCATGTAAACGTACTCACTGTTAGTCAGGTGCAGTTAACTCCTTTAAATGACCTCCGTTGGCAATTTAGCTAATTGGTAGCAATGCAAATAAGCTTGCAAAAGCAATAAATGGTTACCATTTTGTATAATGAGATGTTAGTCTTCTTTTCTATGCATGTGTTTTATCATAAATCATTGTAAAAATGCACAAAAACATTGTGTCTTCCGATATCACTTGTTAATGATGGCCACTTTTGAAACCTTTGTGAACCATTTGTTTCAAACCTTTGATTCCGAGCGCGTATCAAACTGACAAAGTTGTGTGATTTTGGTAAATGAGGCTTTGTTCCATCATAACTGTTTCGAAATTGTAATATTTCACCGCTAGGGGTCAATCTCTGTGAAGTCATGAATCTCTGTCTATATGGTTTTTACCTGAACGGTTTATACATTTATAGACATTTTTAATGATACATTTGTACAATAAAAAGAAAGAGTTGTGGTTAATGGTCTCTTATTGGCCTGATTATTCAAGATCTTCATAAAACAAACAAAACAAGCCCTACAACTTCATATTCAATAGTATTAGATGATTCATTAGTAGATAACACATTTACAATAAAACATTTGCAATTAGTTTGTAAAAGGTGTTTCACGCATGCTTGAGCTGTGTTTTCTTACATTTAAACTGTTCTGAACTTTTATAGTAGTCCTAGTGTGCAATCAAATCCCAAATGCAAAGCATGCTGGGTAATCAGCAGTGCAACAAAATAATTAGCATGAATTGTGGGTAATATTTTGATATTTTTACCACACAGCACTGATAGTCCTGCAAACGGCAACCTTTAACAAACATCAGACTAAGATGACGTTACAATAACCAGCCAATTTTAATAATCTTAAACAACATGTGTAACAGTTACACAAAGGCTTGTAAAGTTTCCAGAAGACATTAACATTGTGGTCTTAATATACACGGCAGACTTTAGATCAAGATTTATGGGGAAAAGTGATGCTTAAAGTTGTTAACTTGAACTTTCCTTCTTTGTAGAGCAACTAGTGTGCCTTTGTATGACTAACTTTCCATAAATGGGCAAATCATGCTTTGAATCAGTGTTGTGCTTTTGATCATTTAAATTAAAACCTCTCATCGTTGTAATAAAAGACCAGTTTTGGGAGTTAAAGGATCACGGTGAGCTGCAAACAGGACTACCACTGACCTGTGGTGAAATTCTTACAACGTTTTCTTCCTTTCGTCTTTACTTTCCCCGTCTGGCAATTTCATGCCAAATGTTTGCGCCAGCCACTGGAAAATTTACAATAAAGAAATTGATTCCATGTTGAGTCAGACTTCTTATTCATAGCCACAAGCCTGTGTGTATATTTTTCTCAATGTGGTTTTGAGTTATTTAGCTGATGCTGCTTATCTAAAGCATACACTTAGAACAGTGTTAGTTGAGAAATATACTTTGCATTAAACAGTTTAAGTGTGCAAGCCTGTTGATCCAATAAATGCAGCCTTGGTGCATAAAAAAAAAATGACCCCAACATCTGAATGGCAATGTACGTTTTCTTACTCTACAAAAGTAAGAAAACAAATCTAACTAGAGTAACTTTGTTACTCTAACAAATCTCACTACTCAATTGGATGATAGTTTCCTTCAACTGTCTGTGCCATTAAACATTTTAACACATCATTGCATTGCTAGAAGCATTTGCATTCACTTTTTTGCATGCAAGAGTATCTTTCAGGCCTCAAACGTCTTGCTCAAAGGCTCAATGATGCAAGTTGAATTCAGCAACACTCCTGTTCTGAACTCAAACCCCTTCTTGGTTTTGAACCCACGACCTTTGGGCTTCCAGCCCTGGGCCCATATTCACAAAACATCTTAAGGCTAAAAGTAGCTCATAACTTGCCAGTTTAGGAGAAAATCTTAAAAATAATGGGCGTGGCAGTCCTAAATTTAAGACTCCTACATTTTTGCTCTAAGAGTGTTTCACAAAGTGTTTCAGCGCTAAAATTAGCTCCTAAATCTGTGAAAGGTTAGGAGTAGTGAAGAGGACTCCTAAGTCACTAAGACCAAACCACCCTAAAATGGCTGTTGCGGCAATCTGCCTCTGAATGTAAACATTTTAGAAACATTTGATGATAATGACCTTTTAAAAAGGTATCGCCTTTGGTTTTGGAGGTTATCCCAACTCTAAATTTTCCTTTGATTATATCCTTGCTTTCATTAACCAGTTGGGTAAGAAGTAACAGCTCTTCTTGCATCCAGTTTGGTTTTCTTTTACGTTTGCATGTATTACTATCAGCCATGATTATTCTACTCTGTTAATTAAAAGGCTGTTTATATGCATATTCACTAATTGTTTATGAGAAGCATACATGTAAGAGGCTGACAATAAGCTGAACATATACTTGTTTAATTAGTGACACAGTCTGCATTTTAAAATCTTTATTTGAATGTGGCAACATTTTTATTTTTAAACCCTTATATATGGCAACATCGTGCTCTACAATATTTCTATGAATCAATCTCTGACAGAGACCCCTCCCCTATCAGCCAATCACTGTATGCATAGTTAGCAAGCACATCATCCATAGCAACGAGGTCAACCCCGCCCTTACTCTTAGCTTATAGGGTTAGTTCACCCAAAAATGAAAATTCTGTCCTTAATTACTCGCCCTCGTGTTGTTCCAAACCCGTAAGACCTTCGTTCATCTTTGGAACACAATTTAAGATATTTTTGAAGAAATATGAGGGCTCTCTGACCCTCCCATAGACAACAAGGTAACTACCACGAACAAGGTCCAGAAAAGTACCAAGATGATTGACAAAGTAGTCCGTGTGACATCAGTGGTTCTACTGTAAAGTTACGAAGCTACGAGAATACTTTTTTGCGTAGAGAGAATTCTCTACTGCGTCACTTGTGGACGTGAGTTCATGACAGTATCATGACGCGAGCGTGTGGCGGCGCTGACCCAGATCAGGCGTAATGACGCTGGATCTGGGTCAGCGAAAATGTGGAATAAAGTCGTTATTTTTGTTTTCTTTGCACAAAAAAGTATTCTCGTATCTTCGTAACTTTACAGTTGAACCACTGATGTCACGCATTTCATTTTTGGGTGAACTAAACCTTTAAGACTTCTCTCTATTCCTTAGTAAATGTTTGTCTCAGCAGCTTTGTGAATAGGTTTAAAGAGAAAACTCTTAGCTAAAAACTTTTACTGCTATTTAGGAGAACTCTTAGTAGTAAGATCAAATGTTTTGTGAATATGGGCCCAGATTGGTAGAGTGCTCACCCAATCAATCACTGACAGATCTGAGCATTTGGAGCTCAGACTGTTTCAGTTTCAGTTAGTGCTCTCAGAATAAACTTTCAAATATTTGTAGAGTACAAAACAATAGTTTAAAGGCTGTTTTTCTTGCAGTCATTTCTAGTCTAAGCATGCATGTCAAAATTCTCTTTTCCCCAGGGAGCGATTAAAGATTTATTGTTAAATCCCCTTAAAATAATAACATAGCTGTATATTTGCTTTTCTTAAGATTTGTGAAATCCAGCTTTACTTCCAAAGTCATTCCATGCCAAACATATCAGTTATCCAAGCGGAAGACAATATAGCAAAGCAGTTTTAAGAGTGAGTGCTGATCACAAACAAATGCGGTGATATTTTTCTGAATTTTTCAAAGAAAATTTGGTCTGTGTTCGACTACAGTTCTTCACTTTAGGCAGGGGTCAATCTCCATTCCTGGAGGGCAGGAGCCCTGCAGAGTTTAGGTTCAATCCTAATTAAACACACCTGATCCAACTAATCAAGTCCTTCAGGCTTATTTGAAAACTACATGGTATGTGTGCTGGAGCAGGGTTGGAACAAAACTCTGCAGGGCTCCGGCTCTACGGGAATTGAGTTTGACACCCCTGACTTAAGGGAATGGTTAATGAAAGACCAAAGATCAAGAGAAAGTCTAATGGGCCAGCCCAGAAGGAAAGTTTATTGCTCAGAGGTTTCTCTTGCACAGCTTGATGGAGTCATGTTGCGTTATACTTAAATGTCTCAGACATTCATCCTACAATTCCTTAGGAGATGAATTAATCAATAGTCGACACAAAGTTTTAAAGTGGATATTTTAGCATTTCTGACCATAGTTTGAGATATTGTTGAGACTTAGGCAAACTCTTCATTTCATCTCATTGGTGTCTAGGAGAAAGAAATGTGAAAGTAAAGAGATCTGATTTGTGATGTCACATCAGTCAAGACTTTTAGCTGCCATAAACTTTATTTTGGTTCATCTAGGTAGGTGCGTTTTTCTACGATTTTAAGATGTTCCTCTACAGCAAACATTCTGGATAACAATGGTGTTTGCTTTTAAGTGGCTGGACTTTCCACAACCATATGTGCCTGTATTTGTTTAACTGGTCATTGAAATGGTCAGAAGCATAACAGACATACAGTGCTGGGCTGATTACTTCAATTTGTAATCAGTAACAGACTATAATTTATTGCATTACTGACTACAATTTTCAAGATTACTAATTTTAGGCTACGTTTTCTGACTACTTTTTAGATTACTTTTGACATGCCTTGTTTATAGATTTAAATGGCATTATTTTTATATTTTTAAAAAAAAGAGAGAAATAAAATGTATGGTCATCAGCCAACATCAGAGAACAAGCAAATGTGTTGTTAAACTATTGAAATATTCACTTTTAAATCTCAGAGGGACAGAGGGTCAACGTGGTTTGACAATTTAAAAAGAATTGGGGAGAATCAATAAATTAGAAATACTTTACTGCCATTGTGTGCATAATCTGAATTCATGTAACCCATAAAGTAACTGTAATATGATTATGAGCATTTTAAAAATCGAATATAATTACAATTCCTTAATTTTTGGAATCTGACTACATAATCCTGATTACATGTCATCAGTTACTAACCAGCACTGGAGACATCAACCAAATGCAATAAAATAAAGCATAATACAGCTAACAACCTTACGATTCTCCATCTCCTGAAGATTCTTCAGCGTTCGTAGTCATTTTCAAATGTCTCTTGGTGAGACAGAGTGGCACTTCCTGGGAACCACGGTTTTCTGTTTTTGATTATGTCCTTGTAGTTTCCAGTTGTCTAAATCTACAAGTTGACACTTCTGCTGAGTCAGGACTGAACTCTACATGGGCCAGTGAAGAGCAATTAGCTCTGATACATGCTTCATTTTACACTGAACTACACCCAGTAACATCTCTAAACTCCAGATATGCCCAGAAACAAATCAATAGGCACACTGGAAAAGCTGCTGCAATATTGCAAAATCATGATAAATATGTTGGATTTCTGCTTAAGACTCGTCTCCTAATAATTTTTTTACATCAACCACCCAAAGCTGAGAAAACACACAACAAATATTAGAGCCAACTTGCGTTAACATGAAAAAAAAAATTTATAATAATAATTCTGTCAGAAATGACAATGTAATTATTTTTTCACTCTCATAACATTCTAAATATGTTCCTAGAAACATTCAAATTGAATTTTTGAAACTTGCCTTGGCATTGCTATTTAGTTGCTATTGTATCACAAGGGTGTTGTTAGGCACTTGCTCGTGGTATTATGGCGATAGGGTATTGCTGGGGTGTTGTTAGGCATTTGCTTGTGGTATTATGGTTGGTAGGGTGTTGCTATGGTGTTGTTAGGCATTGTTAGGGCATTTTGTGTGGTTGTCATGGTGTTATGAAAGATTGCTAGTGCATTGCTAGGTTGTTCTGGCAGGTTTTAACATGTTTATTAAAAACTGAATTTTCAAACGTTGCCTTAGCATTGCAAGTTATTTGCTAGGGTGCTCAGTATGGTTGCTATGGCTTTGCTAGGGTGCTGTTAGGCATTAACTTCTATTATGATTGGTAGGGTGTTGCTATGTGGTTGCTAGGGTGTTATGCATTTGCTGTGGTTTGTCAGGGTGTTATGGCAGATTGCATGCGTGTTGTTAATGTGTTCTGGCTTGTTATAAATATAAACTAGAAATTAAGAAATGCTTCATTGGCATGTTCTCCCCCTAGTTTTTCTCTCCTCTTGTGATATGACATTGCAGGCCAAATAACGGCCTCACGGGTCAACTTTAGTATCTCTTATATAGAGCATGAGTTGTATGGCTTTCATGCTTCTTTCATTATGCTTTTTGTCCTTTTTGGAGCTTGACAGCAGTGGCCACTTCTACCTGTTGAATGTCCAAGGGCTGTAAAGATTCTCACCAAATTCTCCTTTTGTGATTCCTGGAAAATAATAGCTCATAGATTTGGATCAACACGGGGCGAGTAAATCCTTTAACGTTTCCTCAGCAACATGTCTGTTGCACAATATTCCTCACCCATGACAGATGCGCATCTGAAAGCAGCCAAAACCGAACCTCAAACAGAAGTCTTACATAATATCAGCAACTATCTCAAATGGCTCAGACACTGCACCGGTCAAGAGAAAGTCACTAGAGGGATCATTGTTCATTCATCACAAACATTCTTTTGTTCCCATCTCGGCTGTTCGTGTATGATACAGCATATTTCCAGTCAAACGGAGGCCGCTGCATGCACGTGATTTCGTTGAACATGCATCAACATTTTACTTACGAAATGTGACGTATTCAGTGTTGAGTAATAATTGATTACATGTAATCTGGATTATGTAATCAGATTTCAAAAATTAAGTACTTGTAATTAGATTAGATTATATTTTAAAAAACACTCCTAAACTAGTTACATTTTTATTGATTACATCATTGTATATTATTCACACAACAGCAATAAAGTATTCACAATTTATTGATTCTCCCTAATTCTTTTTCATCTTTAAATGTTCCTTTCTAAAATAGCCAACTGCTTATATGCATACAGAAAGTCTTTCAGTTTTGTGGGCATTCACACAAAAACTAGTCACTAGTTTTAGAGGCATTGCCTTGCTGGCACCACTGCCAGGCTCAACGGCGCAAAGGACAACAGTGTTTGATATTGCTGTGATGTTGCTAGATAGGCTGAAAAGTTGATATCCTCACTATGTTTATCTGACTTTATCTCTTATATTTTTTCCTCCCCTCTTTTTACAAGTGGACAGCTTCATGGCACCTGTGAAACTATCTGAATAAAAATTGATCACAAAAAAAAAAAACAGGTAGCTATAATATACAAATATTTTTTCAATTTTAAAAAGTGTTTTCTCAACATTTCAATATTGCATGAACTACTGATGAAGACCTTAATTTAAATTTACCAGGCAGGTCCTTAATGAACCCCAGCTTGGGAAACCTTGACATAATGTTATGTTTAATGCACTTCGTTCTGTTAACAACAAATATATTTTCCTTCTCTTTGTATTTTTATATAAATATGGTACAAGATTGTTATTTAAATCAATGTGATAAACAAGTTAGGTCAAAAGGAAATCCATGGAGAAACTGACTGTATGTCTGAGAACTCATAAACTCCCCGTGTCTAGCATGTTCAGGATCAGTTAGTGGCGCACTCAGCGTGGATCATAATGCATGCTCTCTTTAAGAGCAGGAAACAAACCCCGGAGGGTTTTGCCCTCTCTTGCCCTTCCGGGGAGAGCCACATTTTTTCCAGTTCCTAAAATTTGTAATGTAATCGATTACGTTACTAATTACAATTTCTGTAGTTAAGTGGCAGAGAAAGTTACACTATAAATAAAAAAGATTTTTAAAAGATTACAAAGACAAACACTTTACATGCTTTAAAGAATCTTGCACAACAAGACCAAAATATGCATTACAAAAAAATAAAAAGGTTGGTTGCATGTTGAAGTTTTTACGCTAATGTGCCAATAACAACCTTAGTACCCAGCGGGCGATAGAGTCATTCAAAATGTCTGTAAATGTTAGACATCATATCTATTCCATTAGGGAATCATCAGGTTTTACTCACTAGTTGGCAGTGGGAATCGGCCATGACATTCAGAGAGAACCCTAGAACAATAATGAACTAAACATGCGGTGTCCTGCTGACATCATTACAAGTCTACAACATTAACACACACTCTTTCAAAAAGTGTGAATGCATGTTCATTTTATGATGTTACTCAGCAAAAATTAATTCTACAGTGGCTATTGCCCATACAGGTCATGTCTACATCTCATACCCTTTGTAGCTTATATTTAAGAATTAGAAATTTGAACAATCCATTGTTAAAATGATGTGGCTTGTTAAAGAAAGATGAAAATTCGGGTCCATAAAGTTTGAAAAATCGCAGACTTACACTGAATATGAATCTGAGCCATATTTAGAGAACAGCAAGTCATAGAGACTCGAATATCACATCCATAATGCCCTAGCAACCACCCTGAACAACTTAGCAACCACATAATGTTCTAAAACAATCAAAGAACACTTTAGAAAAATCTAGTTTAATTATATCATTTTACTTTTTATTGAGAAGTGTAAAAAGAAAACTAAATGATGGAAACAACAGGATGAAGAAATGTTAACTCTGAAGAAACGAAGGCCCGTTCACAACAAAGACCATAACTATAATGATAACAATGACTAAAGTTTTAATAACCATTTTAATTCGATGAGAATAAAGAACTTGACACCACAACTCTAATGATAAGGACACATGGGAACGTAATTGTTGGAATCACTTTCAGAACTTTTTTTTTTCCAAGCTCATGCTCGATAACAACACTGAGAGCCAATCAGAATCTCCATCTCGCTTGAACTAGCTCGTGCATTTAAAGTCGGCATGAAATAGAAGTTGTGATAGTCTTTTCTTCCATATTTTGATGTATATCCGAGTGCAACGGCTTCTGGAATGAGAAAAAATATAGGGCAGGTCTGGAATTCGCCTGTTGCCGAGAGTTTGATTGTCAAAACGATATGACCAGGAACAAACAGATTCGAAATCAGTGAAGCAAATTATCAAATAGGCATTATCTTTATAAATAAACCGCAGATTTGAGTTTTAAACAACTACTTTCTCGCCTGAAAAACTATTTAGACCACATTTCATGACATAACAGTAGTATTTTGAAAATTACGCAGGTTTTCTCCTCCGCTATTAAAGCACTGCACTGTGGGATACCTGGCTGCCTCAAGTTCGCACAAGTCACATTTTGATGCATCCTTGATAAAAGGGGCGGAGCAAGAACACATCCCGGGATTTGAACTGTACTTGGCTAGATTTGAACTTTGAACAGTACTTGTGCAACGACTGATGTAATTTCACTTGTCCACAAGAACACAAGTACAGACAAGAATGCATATTGAGAAACGACTAAAGTCACAGCTTTCAAATTTAGTCATTTTTTTAAGAAAGTCAAATAAATATAATTTTGTGGCTCTATAATGACAGTTTGCTGTAGTTCCTCAGTTCTAGCGGTTCAAATGTGAATCAATCTCTTCCTGCTAGATACAGCATGAAATAAACATGAATGAACATCAGAAAGATTTCAATACACCATACTCAAGACCGGAAGCTGCTGCTGACTTTATTTCAGTATACTGACGTACTGTATTTCCAACTGAAACGGAATATTGAATAGAGGGCGGGGTTTCATTTTTGCGATCCTCCACTCATCTCTCACTAGCAGCAAACTAACGGTTGGAGGGGCGTGGTTAAGCATATTCTGCCCAAGCCGTCACACTGACGTCATCAGAGAAGGAATGCCATTCCAAAGATTACCAAGGCAAACTATTTTTTTTCAGTGGATTAACTTGCACGGATACATTGTTCACCTCAAGACTAGCAACGGGCACTAACAAAATAAATTTTGTAAATTTTGATTTCATGCAGACTTTAATCTATTAGCTCTCCAGTCGGTAGTTTTTTTTCTCTGACTAAATGGCGGAATCGGCATTATGATTGGTCAGATCGCATGGCAATCAAACTCCTGGTCCCCTTTTTCAAGTCTTATGTCATGAAGAGATGTCGCTGAGAGTAGGGCTGGGCGATATAGCTAAAAAAAATTATCAACGATATAATGTTTCATATCGTTCGGTATCGATAATTATTGACATTTTTATAACCTTTTTTTAAAACAAAGAGCAATAGAATTTTTTTTTTTTTATTTAACCACTGTATTTTTAAATTAAACCAAATTGAGACAAACAACAAATATTTTTTTTGTTTTAACATTCAAACACACAATAAAAATT